CCTCACCACGCTAGTCTGGACGCTCCCACGCCGACCTGAAAGCCCTTTATCGATCTCCCCGTTATGCCTTGTATGATGAGATTTACTGGGGAGGTTGATAAAGGGCTTTCATGTCGGCGCGGGAGCGTCCAGACTAGCGCGCTGAGCCGACAAACAGCTGATCAGCTGTTTGTCAGGCTCAGTGTGGCAGCCATTTAAATTTAAATGAAGCCGCGATTATTTAAATCGCGGCTTCATTTCCCTTTGCGAAACAAACAAATCTACATGGCTCCGTCAACGGAGCCATGTAGTTTAGACATACCCCACGAGTCAATTTCTGAACCAGACAAAACTCCCATTTACTTCAGTGGGACCAAGATTTAGCACTGTATTGTTACGGGTTCATTGGAGCAAACTATGAGCCCAGCTCTAACGCCAGGCAAATGTTTTCTCTGAATCAAGCTTCAAGTCATGATCTTGCAGCAGTGAAAATAGCAACATAACAGAGGTCTGCCTCGGCATGACAAGGTAAAAAAATCCTGATGAAGATTTGTAATAACCTAAAAGAAATTTCATACATCAGTGGAGATAAGGAAAACTGAAAATAAAATAGATTGGGGTTAGATTTCTTTTTAATAATGTCAGCCAAAACGTTCCAGTCAGTAGTCTGAACACACCATGGACAAGGACAGATTTACCACTTCACTTCACTGCATAACAATTTCAAAGCTTAGATAAAAAATCTTTGTAATGGGAGATGGTGAAGCTGAAACTTCCTGTCAACAAAAACAGAAAAATCATACATTTTGATAAAAAGACCAAGTGAAGCTTGAAGTGGAATATCAAAAAAGAGAAAACAAATTTTAAAGGACTGTGATAGGAATCCTTAAAGCATCAAGCATGGCCAACATAATTGTATCCAATCCTACTATGATGTAAAGAAGCAGTTGTAAAGCTGGGTGAAAGGTGGGTTTATAAATTGAAGCCGGTGGGAAATTGTGGGGATTTATAAGGCTCCCTCATAAAATATGTGGAATAAATGCCTATTTTCCTACTTCCAGGAAAGATAGCTCAGTGGTTTGAGCATTGGTCTGCTACACCCAGAGTTGTGAGTTCAATCTTTGAGGAGACCATTTAGGAATCTGGGGCAAAATCTGTCAGGGATGGTACTTGGTCCTGCTGTGAAGGCAGCAGACTGGACTCAATGACCTTTCAAGATCCCTTCCAGTTCTAGGAGATAGGCCTCTCCGTGCATTATAACACAATTAATATTGTATCATAATCAGGCCTTTTCCTAAAATTGGTCAAATTATTCACTCAGATAAATTAGAGGAATTTAGCTCTGTTTACTGTTTGCAAGATGACTGTGACGTCCAAGAATATATTAATGTGCCATGAGCATTTGCTGTACAGTTTATATGAAGAAGTGTCAGCTATGGGTTGTCAGAAACATTTTAATTTAGCTGTTTGTTTTTCACACTGGTATATTGGTCACCTACTTTACATTATATTGTTTCTGCTCTCAGACTGGAGGACAATTTTTTTTTAAAAGGGAGGATAACTAACAGCTAATAATAAAAAATAAAGCATGTTTAGTATGAATTCTTGTACCACTCACAAATCACTCATGCTAAATTTCCTGATGCAGCAATATTTCTTCGGCATCATCTACACTTTCTCTTTCTTATTCATGCAGCCACTTAGCAGCTGTATATATATGTGTGCAATGTATGTGCATTTGAGAGAGGAAGATAGACACAGCATTTTGTAGATCCCAGCATACAGAGAATAATTTAAGCCCTGAGAGACCTGGTGGGATAAAATGAGAAGACTTGCTTTTGAAAGTTATTATTTTAAAAATAGCCCTTAAAATGCAGAAAAGTAGCAGTAACAGTGAATGTTGTCAATGCATTAACAACAGAATAGCAACACTCTCATTTTGAAGGCTGAAGATAGATACACCCGTCATAACAGTGAGGTGCCTGAGGCCAGCAGAGAGAGGGACATCCAGGAGCTGGCTACAGGCAGCAACATTGCTGATAGGGGAAAAATTAAAGCATCTTTTAAAAAGTTCTTGCTCAAAAAGCAGTCTTTGAAAAGGTCCAAATGAACATGAAAGCAATAGAAAGAGGTCACAGCCTATCTAGAAAAGGGAGTTAATTGAAAGGCCTTTTTTTAAAAAAAATAAAAATATAAGACACACAATCACATTAAATATTGTCTCAAATAAATTTTCTTCATAATAGCCTAAGGTATTAAGATACTGGCCAACAGCTGTGGGGTGTGTATGTGTTTTAAAGAATTACAGCTACTCATGTTGTCCCCAAGTGAGCCTAATAAGATCAGGTGAAGAGAGAGGGAGGGAGAAAGAAAAAAGGGTAAAAAAAAGACATTCCTTCCATGGTCACACAGCATCCAAAAGCTCTCTAGTGGAATACAGGATGCTGCTGCTAGAGGCATATCATCTAGTGTGCAAGTACTCACAGCTGTCCAAAACATAAAATCATTGGTATTGGTACTACCAGCCCAACTAATATGTAAATGGGAGAGAAAGAGAGAGAAAACAAACATGTTAGTATGGAAAGAACAAACTGAAATACAAGAGTTCTTTTTTAATAATCTGAACATTTTAATTGTTTGTTCAATTAAAAGGAACATAAGGCCATTACACAGAGTGACAAAGCCTAATATGGCATATTTGGCTGACAGCTCACAGTCCTTGATGATGATTTGACTAAGGTGACAGCACAGAAGAACCATTCAGAATTAGAGAAGGGAAATAAAGAGGACAGCCGTGCAGAGGAAGAACAGAGCTGAGATACGTAGGTAGCTCTATCTAAGTGAAGTGTGACATTTGAAAGGCGATAAGAAAACAGCACATCAGCATTAGTGCGAGTACTTAAGATGCACAGAAAAAACAACGTGCTACATGTGACAATACACGTAACACACTGTGACTGAGTCAAATGTCCCATTTATATATATAAAAAATGGATCAATAGAAAAGTAAAGAAGGAGGCTCTTGCTTTTTTATTCTGCAGCATTAAAACACCAGAATTATAATCAACCAATATATATCTACAAAAGGGATATTTTTGGAAGAAAGAATTAAGAACTGTGAAAAGGAGTGACTGCAGACGTGTTGCTGCATCTCCGCTAGTGACCAGCTTCTCCTAATCTTAGCAGCTTTCTAGTCACAAGTCCCCCTCCGCTGTCTGTGTCACTCACCTTTCCTTCAAGCTTTGAGAGATCAAAATCATTTGGCAGACAGCAACATGCCATTCCACAGACATATGAGAAAGGAAAAGAGTTTCAATCACTCTGAAGCAGTTGCAGTGGTAACATTATACCGAGATGATTATACTGGACCTGGGGCCTCAGAGCAAAGGAGCACACATATGTTTTAGAGGCTTTGAAACTATTTGGCACCAAAGCACCTTATGGCATCCAGAGAATATTTTTCATGTATAAGTGTTTCTGCAACATATGAAGCATTGGCTCCCAGAATGAACATTTCCTTCAAAGATACAGTTGGTGGTATAGTATGTGCAACCTCAGACATCTGGGGTAGCTGTCAGCCAGAACCTATACTTGTTTTGGCAGCACACTGGGTCTCTTTTACATCAGATGGAAATAAAAAATAAAATCCCCAGACACTGGCTCTTCTCCAAATGTAGCACTTCTCTTGGATCACACCTCAGACTAAATCCTGGATGAGCTGAACAGAAAGAGACATTATTGGCTTGTTTTGTAGAATCTGTCCATTGGTTTTATTGTAGCTGACAACCATTCCAACCTAGAGAAGGCAGGGCAGCACAGGGACTTTGTGCATAGATGTCGTTTTACCTGCTGCTTGAATTTGGTTTTTGTACTCCCTTTCATTGACGAATACAATGTAAATCAAATCTTTCACTTGCATAGCTAAAAATATGTGCACATTTCAGGCATAACAACATTTATATAACATACAGGGGAAATGCAATCTGCTTGTATACTAGCAAATCAGGATGATATCAAAAGGTAAAAGTACAGTCTTCAATGACTGGAGAAAAAAAGAGCCACAGAGTGGTGCACATGTTGAACAAAAGTGCTGAGAATACACTGCAGTGCATCGTTGTTTGAATTTTGCATCTAAATCCTATGGACTTTTGAAGGAATTTCTGCAGAAGGGAGACAACACAGCTATCATTTTTCGAGTAATCCCCTAGGATAAGAGTCTCAGATACAGACTGAGTTTAATCAAGGACAGTGTGATATCACTGGAAAGTCAGCTTACTGATAAAGCCTCTTTTGGTACCACTGAATAGCCACAAAGGATGATTAAAAGAAAAAAAGAAAGAAAAAGTCTAGAGAAGTCAAGTAGGTGTCAAACTGTGCTCACATGGGCGCATCCCATAGCGTAAGTTATACAACTGTGAGACCCAGCAGCTCCTGAATCCATAACACCACTTCCACAATGGAAGCAAGCTTTGTGAGGCTATGTCTACACAGCAGGGGAAAGTCGGAAAAAGATAAGTAAATTGCGAACTGCACTTTGTGTACCTTTTTCCACTTTACTTCCAAAAGGGGCTTCTCCGACATTTGGCCCATCTACATGGGGCCAAATGTCAGAAAAAAACCCTCTTTCAGAACATCCCTTCTTCCTTGTAGAACGAGATTTAAAGGGATACCAAAAAAACCGCGTCCGATTTTCTGAAATTTTTTTTGGAAAAGCAGATGCATTCCTTGGATGTGGCAGAGATGGAGATATCCTGGAAAAGCTCTGCAGTGTAGACATAACCTGAGAGAGTTAGGTTCAGCCTCTCCTGGCCTGGTTGGTCTACTATTTTGAGGAGGGTGTTATGCCTATAAGAAGCACATGGGATTTTTTGAGGGGAAAAGGCAATGTGCTGCATTTATTCCTTGCAGGAGGAATAACGGTAGTTCGAATTAGGAGCTTTAATTCGAACTACCTAGTCCATGCCGCGTGTAGCCACGGGCAGGTAGTTCGAACTACGGGGCTTTTAAAAATGGTAGCGCCCAGGAACATGCAAATGAAGCCCAGGATATTTAAATCTCGGGCTTCATTTGCAAGTTCGAATGCCTACATTAGCCACTCTAGTTCAAACTAGGGTGGCAGTGTAGACATACCCTAGGATGCTACATTTTAGCTACATGGCTAAGGGCAGTGAGAGTCCTAGATCATGTGATTGACAGAAGGCTTCCTAGAAATTATAAGGAACAACCAGTACTCAGGATGAAAGGTTAATTATATGAATCTGAAGAAATGTTTGGACCCTGTTTCTAGATATGTTTGGATAAGTATTGAGATGGCTCAAAGAATACCAGCCCTCCATTACATCAAACCCCTCCTCTTTCCCCCTTCTTCTCCTGGTCCTCTCCATATTCATGTATGTCTATTCCTATTTTATTACTGTTACCCTCCCCCAGTAGGTTATGTCCTTGTAGTGCAATCTGCTTTTGCATTGTCTATCCTGCTGGTGAGCCTACAAAGTGTGTCACCTTCAGACAGAGTACAAGCCAGAGGTCATGTATGGGTTTTGTACTTTGTGAAAATCAATAAAAATAATCATACCAAAGGAGGTGGGTTGTTGTGAGAGCTACATGAACTAAAACCCATGATTGAAGCCTCAGAAAGACCTGGGGAGTAGTTTGTAAACTGGAGAGTCATTTAATAGGCCCTAAGAGGGAAGCAAGGCAGGAAGAGACTTTGTGAGGAATGAACCAGAGTTTGAGGCTGGGCAGCCTCTCTGTTGTGTAGCGTCTCAGAGCTAGAGCCCAGAGTAGAAAGAGCCTCCTGGAGATGAAGGAGAAGAATCCCCCATGCCTTCTGCTGCAACATGAGATAGGGAGCTGAGTCTTGCAAGGTGCTGAATTGGCTGGTGAGGGCAGTTAACAGATTGTTTAGGGCTGAAGGACTTATTGAGCCTGCTGGGGTATATGTGAATTCTTACATTAGGGTTTTTGTTTTAACTGATTCTCAAACAGGGCTTGACTTCTGTAGTGCCTCTGCCAGAGGACCAAATCCCCAATGTCCATATCACACCTCCACCAGGGAAAGATAGTGTACTAACTTGGAAGGGGAAATGGAGGTGCAGAAGTGACATCTAAGGGTGGATGGCTGATAGCGTTGTCACAAAAGGACACATTCGCACCCAAGAGCAGGTGCAGATGAAGGTAAAAGAGCTCCACCAAATATATGCCAGGGCCATGGAGGGCAACTCCTGTTCCAGAGCAGAGCCCCACAGCTGCCCTTATTTTAAAGTCCTTGACCCCATCCTTGGGGGTGGGGAAGTCCCTTCCCCCACCCTGGTTCTAGACTCCGGGCTCAAGATGCCTGTTATCATCCTCACGGGGAGAGAAGGGGTGGGGAGGGATGAAGAGCTATTCCAGAAAAACTCTTCCGGAATAGCTTATTCCGAAATAACTGTGCAGTGTAGACGTAGCCTCAGCAATATTCATATGTAGCATCATTTGGCTGTTGTCATGAAAGGTAATGGCAGTGATAGTGCTGAATCTCTTTTGTCATTTGTTTTACCGCAGAGTTCATGACTCTTGCTTTGAGAGCAATAACATTTAGTGGAAACAAGAATATACAGGATAATGACAACAAAAGTCAACTCTAGCAGGTATAAATGGCTTTCAAATGTACTTGAGGTGATGTTCATTCTAAGGGAACATTCAGACCTGCAGGCACTACATTTGCAAGCCCACTAAAATGATCTGTCAGTCCATGAACAGCAATTTTGTGTGCCTCCCTTCAGCAGTATCAACAGGAGTTATGAAGACGCATATGATTATCACTAAACTACACTAGATGTCCATCAATAATTCTAGTCATGTACATGTGCAGCACACACATGGGCTATGTTGTAAGAACACACACAAGAACAATCCCATTGCCTCTTTTATGTGCTACGTACAGATAAGCAGTACAGTAAACTTCTGATAATCCGGCACCTTTAGGACCCAGGAGATGCCGGATTATCATATATGCCGATGCGAAGGGGGGGCTATGAGGTGTCTGGGGTGGGGTGGAGGGGATGCCACCCCAGATCCCTCATAGCCCCCCATTCCGATAGTCCGGCTCTGCCCCAGACGTCCCCAATTCAGCCACTGCTGGTCAGTTTCAGCAGCAGCTGAATCGTGGACGCCTGGGGCAGAGCAGCTGGGGTGCTATCGGGTTGGTCCAGTAGTGCCGCCCTTCGGCGCTGCGAGACCAACCCAGCAGCACCGTAGTTGCTCTTGGGGACGCCTGGGACAGAGCAGGCCTGTAACCAGAGAGACCAGGCAAAATAATGTTTAGACAGCTTGACTCTGGTAAGAGTTTGTCAGCCTTAGTGGGTATCTCTACACTGAAATTAAAAGCCCATGGCTGGTCCATGTCAGCTGATGTGGTCTTGTGGTGCTTGGGCTCTGGGGCTGTATAGAGTGTAGATATCTGGGCTAGGAATGCAGCCTGGTCTATAGGACCCTGTGAGAGGGGAGGTTCCCAGCCTACATCACAATTAAACAGCCCCACAGCCCCAAGCCCCATGAGTGAGAGTCACCTGGCATAGGCCAGCCACAGGTTTTCAACTGCCGTGTAGACATACCTAGGCTGGCTAATAAGATCGTGTGCTGCACTCTGTGTTTCCCGAGTGGGGGGTATGTCTACGGGGCATTTAAAAGTAGCGGTGCCCGGAAACATGCAAATAAAGCCTGGGATATTATATCCCAGGCTTCATTTGCAAGTTCGAATGCCTACATTAGCCACCCTAGTTTGAACTAGGGTGGCAGTGTAGACGTACCCTGGCTGATTTGCATGGGGTAGTCAGCACCTGAGACAGAAGTTGCACATTCTAGCTGTGCCATGATCTTCACTCCCCTTTCTATGCTGGTTTGTCTTAAAGGAAGCTGCACTGGATTTCAACAACTACAACAGCTTAGGCCATCTAAATGAATGTTTTCTTGTCAGCACAGTTCATACCATTTAGGTGCAGGGAAACTGTTGCAAGAGAAGCCTCACTTAATTGGTAAGTTTTAAATGCTTCAGCTGTGTTCTCTTGTGTGTGATGAGGGGATAAAAAAATGAATGGTGGCTACAATGGGAGCAAGCCACAGATTACTCAACACAGCTATGGACCACAATTAACTGCTAGAGCTTTATGAAACTCTTAGCTCTTGTGGGGCCTAGCCTATCCCTCTTAGTCTCACAAGAGTGGCTCTGGCAGGTAGCCTGTGCTGCACATCATGTTATAGCGCTTATTATCTTGATCTTTCCCTCCCTCTGGCTGCTGCATGCACCCTGGGTCCCCCAACTACACACTTTTTGGTTTTAT